ATATATGGTGAAAGCACCGCGTATAATGCTGGAACCACAGCGTATAATGCGGGAACCACCGCGTATAATGGCGAAAGCACCGTGTATAATGCCGAAAGCGCCGCCGTATAATGCTAAAAGCACCCAACAAAATGCCGTTTGATCACTTTAAGCCAGCTATGGCTTTCCATAAAAGAAGACCAAAGATGAAAGATGATCACATTGCCTGTTTGCCTTATGCTTGACCGCGCTGCACCACGGTTAAAATTCACTGGTACCGTCATGCAATGCGCCAAATAGAAAATTTTCATATCGACCCACAAAACAAAATTAGGATCTGCTGCCTTGCTCGCTCGCTTCAGGCTCGCTCGCTGCGGCAGCAATGAAAAAGTTTAAGAATTTATAAACTATTGTTTGTTCAAAGTCGAGTATTGTCATAATGCCATTATAAGTTTAGTCAAATGCCCACAATATACCTTACAGTATTAAAATTTGCGCATTACTAGAATTTGCGCAGCACTGGGTGTGCAAATTTTAATACTGCGCGAAATATAATCCGCGCAAAAAACTTTGTGGTAGTAAAGATAAAGTGTACGTTCAAAATAACAATAACTAAAACATTACATGGTTCTCATTTGCCTATAAATACAATAATAGTACGAAGCGAATTTTAACAAGTAAGGTATAGTATCATATTTCATTATACTATAAACTGTGATAACATAACTTCGGGCCCTTTGGACATATTTTGTAATAGTCTCATTCGAACAAGAATCCAAAACACTATTTAGAATCCAAAACACTATTTAGAGTGTTATTTTCAAACTTGTGTCTTCAGATTTTCATCTTTTATTTCGGTATTTACAGAATATTTCTATTTTTAGCGCGGCCCATGCAACGTGCATTAAAACAAAGCCTAGACTTGCCACAAGTCGACCTCGAACGAAACACGAACAGCGAGCACCGCGTCTACCACTGATAAGTAAAATCGTTAATCGTCTGGCGTTACAGAGTGTAAATTTGTCTGGCGTTAGACAGATTTAATACTAAAGTAAAGTGGGGTGCATTGTCAGCTAATGGGTATGCCGTTTTTGCCGTTTATCCACGTTTGACCAAATGGCAACATTAGTTACATATTCAGTGCTTTGTGACGACGGTACCTGGTAGTACCAGATCCGGGACAGATTAGTCAAGCGAGAACGCCAATCTGTGCCAGTCTTCCTCAGTCACCGAAGGTGTTACATTTCATGCATTGTGTCAGAATAAAGTTTATTTTGTGAGTCTTCGCAATTTCAAATGTGATTAGACCGAGGGTGAAGTCTGCAGAGACGTCAATGCAACCCTGGAATAGTGCCTTGTAACTGGCATTCTGTCCAACTACAAGTTAAATTGTTTGTTGAAACGGTAAGAAATTAATTTTGATTTGTTTTCAAATTATCATACTTAACAATTACTCGGCAAAGGCGAAATACCATGCGAGGTGAGAACATGAGAGCCGCGCTCGCTAGGATAAGGGGAGCTCAAAATTCACAGCGAACATATGCTAAAGTCAAAAACGAGTAATGAAATCCTATTGTAATCGAAGGGAAGGTCTTGGGAGGAAGTGACAGTAGGTGCTGAACCGCTGAAGAGTTTTGTCTAGTAGTTTCTTGCAGGTTAACCAACAACTCTGCAAACCTTAGCCCTACATTGCACAGGCACTGCAGCTCACTAGAGCTCAGACCAAGATAAATCTGTGGATTGTGATAAAGTAGTTACGTACTTCAATACTTCATACTGCAAGAAGTTAACACTTCAGCATTTCAATACCGTCCTGACGGCCTTTACCCACAGACCGAACAGTCAGATCGATCGTTACTATTGCATTTGCAGTTCTATATATACAGCAGTGCTGGACTATACGTTCAGATTACAGATAGATAGATTTATTAAAATTACATAATTTACACATTACTGAAATTGTTCTATTTAATAATAGGTATGTATCAATACAAATCATGGTATATACATAAAAAATATAAAAAGTGAACTAAAAAATTGGAACAATGTAAAACGTTTCAAAAGTATACATATAATGCTGCGTCTAAGAAAGAGTAAAGGAACGGAAGGATCATCGCTCTGTTAGTGATGACGATATTAAGTCTACTTTTGTATCCTATACATTTCATTTCCAGATGATAATACATAAGTGTTTAAAGTCTGTTTGTATTCATATTTGTGTAGGTATTAGTATGGTTTTCAGTGCCATTTGGGAAAAAAACATGCACGGAGTGAGTTTTTCAAAGACTATCAAAATTGCACGAGTAGGAGGGAAGAGTGCAATTTGTCAAATTTGAATGATTTGAAAAACTCACGAGTGTATGTTTTTTTTTCAAATCGCACGAGAAACCATGCTGTTATGAAAAAATTATGCAGTCACGTGCGTAAGTCACATTTAGAAATTAAGAAAATTTAAAAATTTGAAAAATAAAAAATTTCCCGCTGTATATTTCGAAAAAATTGCATAATTGCCCTTAGCCAATCAGAATTGAGAATTTTTTTCATGTATATCATTAGATCGATATCAAAAACCAGCGCTGATTTCTCAAATAATGATGCTATAGATCAATCTTGCTGGAAGTAGGTGATGAAGTATATGATCGAGCTACTCTCAATGATTTAAGACAAGCTTCCTCTTCCCTCTTCAATGATTTAAGACAAGCTTCCCCTTCCCTAGCTTGGAATCATTTGTCTCAACAAGTTTTGTCTAAGATTGTAGCAAGACGGGAGGAGGGGAGTGGTTAAGCATGCATGTATTTCTAGTCTATCATGTATTATTATTATGACAATATATATTTTAATAGGAAACTCCACAGGGGGGCCAAGCGTTGATCTGTGTTAGTGTTGTATGTTTTTCAGTTTATTTATTTTAGGGACGGACCATTTGATTTTTGAAGGGGGGGGTGGGTAGAATCCCCAAAAAAATATCGGGCAAGCAATTCGAACTTAAAAAAAATATCGTGCAAGAATAAACGGACGAAAAAAAATATCGAGCAAGACTTTCGAGTGGTAATCCTTATTTGCCATTCGGTGCATTTCCGCGTGTAGCCCAGGCCGTATGTAGCAATCGGGGGGCTGGGGGGGGGTTGCAGGGTCCAGAAAATGGCGTTTCAGAGACTCTAAATTTAAAAATTTCCTCGGGCCTTCGGCCCTCCCTTTCACCCCCCCAATCAAAAAGAGCTTCCCACGGCTCTGTAGCCTACATAATGGGAGGACCAGTATAATTCCAAAAATGGTTGTTCTTTATTTTTTTACTCCGACTCCTATGATGAACATGTACGTAAAAAACTAAGAAAACTACGATTACATCACGGCCGTAGAAACTAAAATAGGTGAAATTTTTATGCGAGGATATAAGAGCGAGAGATTGAAATTGAGTAGGAATAGCGTACAGGGGTATGCGTTTCGACCTAACAGTTTTCTTCAGCAGGGTTTTTTAAGAGGGGGGTAGATATAATTTGAAGAGGAGAAGGAAGGAGAGTTTATAGGAGTTCGGAAAATAATGTGAGACCAAGAGGAAAACAAATTATTACGAAATAACTGAAAATAACCAATTACACAGTGAAAGGATGTAACGACTATACATGTTATTAGTCAAGTTATCCTACCAAAGGTCTTGTTGTTTGCGGGACATTCCAACACTACGCACTTTATTGTTCATCGTTCGTATTGGTGAAGTGAAGCAAATTTGCAGGTCCTTCAATTATAAGGGTTAACTTACTCAATGGTATAGTGAGTTTGAATGATTGTGATTGTGATGGTAAGGGTGATCATGTGCCTGTAGGTGATTGCATCCAAATATGGTGTTAGTGGTGTAGGAGCTTATAAGACAGGGATAGGGGCGTTTGGCAATTAGAGATACATAAGGGATAAAAATAATGATAACACCGTGCAGGGTTTGATTTTTGTTTAAAATATATGAATATACAATAATAACTAAAACATGTACATATATAACAAAACCAAAACAGAGATTAGTAAATGAATGATACGATATGACCAATAGATAGCTATATAGCTAGTTCTGGTGTGGATTTTGCTACGTAGAGGATCCAAGTTCACATTATTTTCCGAACTCCTAAACTCTCCTTTCTTCTCCTCTACAAATTCTATATTTCCCCTTTAAAAAACCCTGCTGAAGAAGACTGTTAGGTCGAAACGCGTGTAGAGTTGCCTTTCCTACTCAATTTCAATCTCTCACTCTTAATCCTCACCTTTTATGGAGTCCCATAAAAATTTCACCTACTTTAGTTTCTATAAATAATCGTAGTTTCCTAGGCCTAGTTTTTTTACGTACATGTTCATCATAGGAGTCGGAGTAAAGAAATCAGTGAAGAACAACCATTTTTTGAATACTGGTCCTCTCATTATTTAGGCTACACAATGTCTTACACCAGTACTTGTCCAATTTAATACCTATTATATACCAAAAAATGTAAAAACAAAAAACTAAAAAATGTATATACATGCATACAAAAAAAATATCGTGCAAGTCCTCTGACTGACAAAAAAAAATCGAACAGTGTCAGGAGGCGGAAAAAAAATATCGAGCAAACTGAAAATCTACCCACCCCCCCATCAAAAATCAAATGGTCCGTCCCTTAATAGTGTCTTTATATTGCCTTTTAATTGAATTATAACACTAAATTACACTAATATGTCGTATAATAATAATACTCCTATAGTCGAACATATAATAACAACATATAAGTTGATTTGTATTTGTATGTTTTTCAGTTTATTTATTTAAAGTGCCTATGTCATAGTTTGGGAATTAGTCTATTTAGATAGTTTAGATGATTTTAAGAACTTTTGCAATATATTTTATAATTCGAAAATTTGATCTTCATGGACTTTCAGGGGCTCAAAGTTGGCGATTTTTTGCTTAACCGTGAGTGTAAAAGGACTAGGGCGAGAGTGCCTATAAACGCCGGACGTGACGTCAAACCGGGAACTGATCAAAACAAAATACATATGATTTGCTATAGTTTCTTGATAAAATCATGATAAAATCGAGTATAAATTAGATGTTTCTGGAAATTTCCTCGATATTTCGATTGGAATTTAATTGGACTATATCCTTAACCTTCGGTTATCCAACTGACAGGCAAATTGGGCGAGATACTAATTTTATGGCTGAGTGTGCAGGTCAAACACGTATACGTTGATGCTAATCTATCTTGATTTTATATACAGAAATATCGGGACAAAACGGCAAGGAATGTAGGCTGTTGTTAAACCCAATCCAGGAGAATCTATTCTCTTTGTCAATACAGGCCAGATTGGAAATTATTGTGGGCAAAACACCTCGTCCAGGATCAATAGAAGTGGCTGAAACCGCCGGTTTGCTTTGAATTTGGGCGTCATAGCCGCGTCAGGATGTACCGTAAATAATTTTGAGAAAAAGTAGGTAATACGAATTTTATATGATTTAAAAAGAGAAACTCTGAAGGCAAAGTGAACTTGTTTTATTATATTGACATGTATTCATGAATTACTGTAAATTTAAAGTTGATATTTGAATAAATTCGTGAATTATTATTAAACTAGTCTTGCAAAATCGCCTAAATGTAAGATGTATTATATTGTGTTCTACGAGGTGTTCTAATTGACCATTTGCGTAATAGACTAAATTTTGATCTAGACAAAAATTTCATCACAGCTTGAAAGAGCATCACAAAATTAGTAATATTCCAAAATTTGGTTGCGAAATGTTGTAAAATGTGGATAATATAGCCTTGCGAAGTTTGCAATTTTCAGTCATTTTAGATTTACAAACGGGAAATTTGTCGCCCGAACGCTTTGAGCCGTCAATTTCCCGTTTGTAATCTAAAATGACTCAAAATTGCAAATTTCACAAGGCTATATTATCCGCATTTTACAACATTTCGCAACGAAACTTTGGAATATTATTAATTTTGTGATGCTCTTTCAAGCTGTGATGAAATTTTTGTCTAGACTTGTTTAGATCAAAATTTTGTCTATTGCGCAAATGGTCAATTGTGTTCATGAAATAATACAACTAGGTTACATTTTTTAAAATATGACACATCTTTATATTTCTGATTCATGAATAATAAAAATCACTTTCTTAATTATAGTAAACTATAATCATTTTGAAAATTATAATATTCTATTGAGTATTGTATTTTTTCGACATTTGACCTTGTCTGCTAGCAAAATGCCTAATGTAAACAAAGCAAGCGAAGGGGCCTATTGTATTTCATGATTCGCCCATTTCTGGGCTATGACATGTCTTTACCATATTATTTGTCCTAAAGACCTAACGGATTTGATTTCTAAATCATAAACATCTATTCTTTATAAAGTTATAGTAAATTTTTCATTAAATGTGAAAACATTTTGAAACACTTGTTCTTTGTATTATTCAATTTATTTGAGGTGCCGAACTTTCCAGTTTGCAAAAATATGCAAATAAAACAAGGAATTTTATTATATTTATAAATTATAAAATGATATTATATATGGTTATGGGTGACATTATTTATTCATAAGTCATGGATCATTTTGGCAAATTACGACATATGAATGTAAGTATAATCCCTGGAAATTATCTGGATTGACCCATTGCCTTGGCATTGCTTTGTTTACATTTGGCAATGAAATGGTTTCATCTGTTATAAAGAACTGAACAAGATTTTCAAAATGACAAGACAAGTTTGTTCTATTTAAGCAAGTGATTTTTACAGTATGATTCAAGAATAAAAATCTAAATTTAAAGCAATGTGACCCAGGACCATAAATACATTTTATTCTTTCTTTGTTTATGCATTTTGCA